TATGCATAATATGTTGAACCACCAATAATTTGCCAAAGTATGTGATTTATAACAGTCAAAAAGTTTTCATTCTGACGGGTTGATCAGTTCTGCATGGGCAATTTTTAAAGGGATTCCACAGCCCCTACAGGGGTCAAAACCCAAAAGCTTGGTGAACTCTTTTGACACTTTATATCAATTATGACATTTTGCCCGCTCCCGCTAGCAAACTCACGATGGATCAAAACTGAGCGTTTGGATAAGAAATAGCTTGATGAAAGCGATAAACATGTCTTGGAGGAGCAAGAATATTGGGAGGTGGTTGCATGTAAATAGTTTGGTCCGAAGTATGAGTCCAATGAAAAACCTCCAATTCTTCATTCATTTTGGATGATTGCGATGAGGAGTCACCTCTGGAGAAGCTGACATGTGTAGAGGTAACATCAATAGTCGGAGTATCTTGCAGCAGAATTGAGGTAGCAGGTGGATGCCCAGAATGTGTGAATCACTCAAGAGAATCATCACTAGGTGCCATGAGAGTGAAGGAGGGAGTGGGCTGAGGAGAAGTGCCAAGGGTGATGAAGGAGGTTGAGAGGCAAGCTGGTGAGAGATGTAATATATCTTAACATTCTTCTGTTAAACTCATGGTGGATCGGGAGCCCCGTGAATTTGGATAAGAAGAGTTAGAATTAGAATCGCAAAAGACGTGTGTCTGAGCCTCGATGAAGGAGTCTGAGTGTGGCGACGAGATTGAACAGCTAGGGATAGAAATCCTTGTACATTAACAGAGAAGATATTGATAGCCAATGCTGAGGCCGTGAAGAGGATAAACTCATCGCAAGGAAAATCTCAATGGTTGATGTTGATACCGTAAAGAAGAATTTCTTGCATCAAGGAACTAAACATGAACTAAACATGAGTTGAAGCCAGCATATCGGATATGATGGCAATGGGTTTTTGAGAGATCGCTGATATGAGGAAGGAACTCGACAAAAGAGGCCAACAAGCATGATGATGTTTAATGGAACGTCAAGGAGCACACGTGGATTTGATGAGCAGAGACAGCTAGTGTCCTGAATACCGGATAGAGAGCTTGAATCACTATTGAAATTACAACAGTAGAGGATTAGATTGAATTAGAAGCACACAAGTCACATGCGCTAAGGATGCAACAGAGGACAAGGGATCAAGAGGAGCAGCAAATAGAGCATTAGCTGATGATGTGGCCGGTCAAAATGTACAGCTATAGCACGAGTCTTCAAGGAAGATTGAGATGCTTTCTTTGGAAGGTGATTTGACTAATGGCTAGAACTTGAGGGTTACATCTAGAGGCTGTGGACAGAGTTTAGAGCAGAAGTCGTAAAGTCGGAGTCGTAAATGGAGGTAAGGACTAGATTTCACAGCGGAAGTCGACGCAGAACTGAAGGAAGCGTTGGAGGGTGTTGAGGAGGTGAGGACGCAGTGGAGTTGAGGATGGACTGCTTAGAGAAGCAGATGTGGGCTTCATGGCTTTGAGGTTGAAGATGATGGAGGTTGAGTTTTTTTGAATGTTGGACGAGGTGATCTCTTATGACGTTTATCAATAAGATGATCAGACCTTGTTTTTAGTCACATGTTTGTATGACCTGAGAGGAGAGTTGAAGTTAATTCTCTAGTGGGTCAAGGCCTTAAAGAAATGAAGCCCACTGCTATCTTTTTTTTTTGGGCCAAGGCCTTAAAGAATAAAGCCCACAAGGGTTTCTTCTTTAAGCCTCTGAAGTCTCATGACTCGGGGAGCAGAGCGATTCCTCTCATGCTCTCTCAAATTCTCCCCAAATCGAGAGCTAGGGTTAGGGGTTTTTTATCTCACCAGAGTCAAGGACAGTGTCGAGCGACGACGGCGAGGCCTACGAAGCAGCGAGTGACAATGGAGATTTCGACAGCACGAGTGACAAGGGCGAGGCTGACGATGCAGATTAGGGCACAGAACATGGCGGCAATGATGAAGAGATTGAGGAGTCGGATGTGAGGTTGAGATCTCGGTGATGGAGTGAGGTTGGGATCAGTCATTGTTGAGGCTGAGATCAATTAGGTCAGATCTCGTTTGGTAATTTTGGAGCGAGGTTGAGATTGGGCGAGGCTGGGTTGATGGTGGATTGCTGAACCATTTGACAACACAAAATCTGATAGGAGGATGTGGCAACGACAATAGTGAGCAAGAGCAGTGGTAATAGAGATGTGGCTTGGTGGAGTTAAATGAAGCCAGAATATCAGGATGTGGAGAGGATGGACAGAATTTGTTAGGATCTATCTAGAGTAAGAAGTATCAATGAAAGGAATAGAATAGTGACTGACCGATTTGGAGCGAGGTCGAAGCCGCCGAGAGGAAGTGCTGAGATAAAATCCCCTCGGCGGCCCCAAGATCTACAATGAGGTCGGTTGTTCTCAAGGATCAATAAAGCTTTGATACCATATTAAATTGAGAAGAGAACTAATTCATTGATCATCTTTGGTTAACAAACCCAGTATAAATAAATACAACAAAAGAGCATACAAGTGGGCATACAATTTGGCAAACGATATCTAAGTGGGCAAGTGATTGACCATAGACAAGGGTTGAGCATGGGCAATGGTAGCAAGGAAAAGGTATGGGTTGATCTGAGGTATGATTCTAGCAAGTCTTTGGTAGAGTTGACCATCTTAAGTTCGCGCTAGAGTAGACTACAGAAATGATAAATTTCAAAGTGTGATACTACAGGAGGTTCATGTGCAATTAACCCTGTAAAATAAGTCTTTTAAAATTTATTTGTTATTCTAAATTAGTCCCTTAGCTTTAATATGTTAGTTTAGCTCCAAATAAATATAGTGATGCTTAGTTTTCTGTACTCTTACTTCTAACAGTCACGAAGCCACGACTCTTTCTAAACATATTAGATTCGCACATTGAACGTAAAATTTGCACTGAAGAACATATACATGGGGTAGACTTTAATAGGTTTAGAAAGGCTTAGTTTAGGTCCATTATCTTAAAACACCTTATTTATTTTCTCTAATTTGTCGGTGATTTTGAATTTGATGTATATGGGTTTCTTTTTTGTTGTGTGGATTGATTAAACTAACTAAAAATGGTAAACATATATAGGAAATATCGCAGCAATGGAACGTGCAGGCGATGCCGACGTTTATAATGCTTAAGGGAGGAAAAGAGACGGGGAGAGTGGTTGGTGCCAAGAAGAACGAGCTCGAGAAGATGATTCAACAGCATCTAAATATTTCTAAGTCCTAAATCTTTATTTTTCTGGAATAAAATTCTGTAATTTTGAACTTGTGATGATCTCTACATGTCTTCTATATTTATTTGCTCATATTGTTTTTCCCTGTTCCATGAAGCAATCTAACTAATGGTTGAACAATGAATGTTTATTATTCAAGGATGTGGCCATTGAATATTTGAATGTCTTATCTGACTGAAAATTAGCTATGAAAGTAATACAATCTTTCCAATGCTTTGTGGTCATGGAATGTAATTTTAATGATTGGTATAAGGACCATTATTTTTTAACGTCGACTGTTGTTTCAATGGAGTCAGGTGACTCTGATTTTTCTTGAATAGAAAATAGAAATGATTGTTGATCACTAGGAATATGATGAAGTGATAGATTCAAAATGATCATGGCTGTCTAAATATGTATACACAATTTAATATCTTTGTCTTCAGTTTGAACGTCAAACGGATCAAATTACCAACAATTCAAGTATTGATGTGTTTCATGTCAGCGATACAACCACCAGAAGAGGGAGACATACCAACACCAGTGAGTTAAATTATTACTAGGATGAACCTCTTTATTATATATTGATGATTTGGTATAAAACAAAATATCTTCTGCTTTTTGTCATTACAAATATAAATATAAAAGCAATCTATCTAAAACAGTAGGAACCTCTTTATTGTATGTAAGATGACAATGGTGAGGTTCATCCTAATCAAAGGAGTTCACCTTTCTATCTTGACAACTCAATTTACCAAATAAGTAGGGAATAAGATGGGAAAGAATCAAGATTTGGATCCTCTTCACTGTAAAAAAGTAGTAGAGAGGCCACTACTTTCATTTTAGTCCGTTGATATTATTTTAATGGTTGAGATGAAATTAATCTTTCTTAACTATAATTATGGAAATCAATTAGCCTAACATATCTCCTATTTTTACTCCTACTAGTTTTTATGCACGTGCAATGCACGTGGTTAAATATCAAAAAAAAATATATTGTTTTATATTTATTTCATTACTTTAAATAAGTAAGATTTATCTTAAGTTCAAATATGTATTATTGAATTATAAGATTTATTAGTATTTTATTTAAATATTAAAAAAAATAAATGTAAAGGAATTTAAGCTAAACTTGGATGAATATACGTATTTGGCATATTGTAATTGTTATTATGAATTTTAGTTATAGTAATGTAGAAAATATTTCAAAAATTTAAGTTATTTCAAATATTTTTTGACTTAAAAAGCTAAGATCATTGTTTGATTTACTGCAAACTTGTAAATTATTTTTGTTCTAAAATTTTTTAATTGATCACTACCACCAACACTTAACAGGAACTTAATTAAAGTATGAAAGTAAATCTTGATCAAATTTGGTCCCTTATTCAATATGGCAACAATCTCAACAAGTAATAATTAGTAAGCCAAGGTTTTTTTGAAAACAATGAATATTGAGGTTTGTGACAATCCCAAGCAAATTCATCACAATAGTAATTCTTTGCCAATTGGTTAAAGAGGTCACATTTATATCATAAATGATTGATCACATGATGCGTTATCCATAGACAATAATAAAATATAGCAACTGTTCTTCATGTTCAACTCTCCACAAGGTCCGTGCATCATATGTTTTTTACCAATTCATAGAGGATCGGTGTTTGGATCGGTCTGGAATTTCTGTAGATACATATTTATCATACTGATTTGATGATGTGATCTTGTGATCTCCAATAAGAATTATTAATATATGTGCATGTGGTAGCCTTCTTTTTTGAAACTCAATAACATGAACATGTGCTACAACTTTCCCAAAGATCCCCTTCTTAAATAGTTGATCTTTCAAGTCTTGGAGCTTTGCTCGAAATATCCTTGAGGTTAGGTCTGGCCTGTCATTATGGCTTTGGCCTGGATGTAGTTGCTCAATGATCTCTTCCCATTCTGGATTACATGTCATTGTTATAAAAAGATCTGGCTTTTCAAATCGTTGTACTAATGACATTGCATCAAGGTATCTACGACGCATGTCTCTAGGACCACCTATGAATGATGATGAAGGAACTATTCTTTTGCCCACTTGGCTTGCATTTGCTTCGCCGACAGCTACACTGTCGACAATGCCTTGGAATAACTCTGCTTTGATTTCTGATTGTTTATTTCTAAAGTAATCAAGCCTTGTTGTTTCAAGCTTTATGTACATATCAACAACATATTGATGGAATAAACGACCTGCTGATGTAAGTATAAAAGATTGTCGAGTGTCTCTTATCTGGAGCTTATGATAATAATAATCTCGGCATGAAACTTTTCCGGGTTTTGGTGCCTTGACACCTGTAAATTTAGGTGTTAATCTATATTCATATATAATAACATTACTTAGAAATGTGAATTAAATTTTACCTTCACTTTCTCGGCTAAATATGTCTTCTGCAGATGTGAAGGTAGGTGGAGATATTGAAGTTGGTATTATAGTTCTTTGTTGATTATCAGCTCTGATATCCCTTTTATCCCTTCTTTTAATATTTTGATGCTATCTAACCTCTCTATTAGGAAAGAGTAAGGGATACTGCAGTGGATCATAACAGTCAAAATAGTGTTTCACTTGATGTCTTCCTCCTGAGTGTGCATGGACAATAATCTCTCTCTCAAATGGTGCATTGTCATTATTTCCTTCAACCCAGATTGCAGCCACCTGATCTGCTGTTGGTGAGTTGTAAACACGTTGATCTAGTGCAACATTACTATTTATTAGTATCTTTAATTCTTCAAAAGATTGATAATCATTCAATTTGCAAAGGAACTTTGCATATGGGTTTTCTTGTAATATATCCATCAAGCTCTTAGTTGTGATTTCACTCATATTTGCATTGTGTAGAATTCTCAATCGATTTTGCAACTCATTCTCTGTATCATAGAAGTAAAGCTGAAAGTATGAAGGCTTATTTTCCTTTGGAATTAGAGCTAGGAGATTATGATATATTTGTCCTTGTGCTCTAAATGTGAAAACTCCTTTTCTATTTGATGCGAGCTATTTATCAAATCTTGCCCCAAACGATGTGAATGAGAAAATACTGTTGTACATTCTGGTGTGGCTTCGGAACTCAATTGTCTCTGGTGTTTGCATTGTATAAAGGGCAATAATTCATTTGGAATATTCACATCTGCTAGGTGGATTTCACCGTTGTGACAACAAAATGTTGGAGGCTCATGTTCAAACTTTTTGGATCCACAATATGCACAAGACTTTGGAGTGCGTAGCTTATATAGTAAAGAACATACCGGTTCATGAAGAATTTGCCCTAGAACAAATATAAATATTTAATAAACTAATATATAATATTGTATAGCTCTTTCAATAAACTATAAAGTATATGTACACCAAACTTCATGCTCATAGGCCAGTAGAAGGGCTCCACAAAATAGGTTAACTTTACGTTGTCGCTTGCCATTAATAGTATTACCAGAAGAGTCATTACCGTGTCGCTTTCTCTTATTATCCGCAATTCTTTGAATGTAAGATTTCTTTTGCTCATCACTCAACCGAGAATATTTAGTCTTTTTAATTCTGGGTATTGGAGTGTTCTCTTCTGTTTAAAAAAATGTTCATGTAGTATTATAAATACATACACATATACTAATATAATAATATATGAATAATTCATTATTGAGTTTAATGCAAACCTTGGCTTGAAGCCATTTTAGGCGAGAAAGTGTTGTATAGTAGTTATGATATCCAAAAACCAGAGAATAAATTTTTACAAAGGAAAATCATATGTCATATTACTATTAATTTATGAATATATATGAGCAATGCAGATAGTTGGACAAATTAGTGAAAATTTTCATAAAAATTCAAAAATAAACAAACAACTATAATCATTATCACAATAAAAAAAATTATTGATATTCTAGACTAACCTGATACTCGTAATTATGGAATAAATCTTGAGTACAAAATTGGAATTAGTTAAAAGCAGATACTCGTAATTATTGGTTACATATCATTATAATGATATGTAACCAGGTGATTGAATTTCAAAAACAATCATGAGTATGAATATATTGTAATCTACACAAAAACAGAAATTAATTAAAAGCATGGAAAGCAAAAAAAAGGAAAAAAGAAACAGATGAAAGGTATCTGTTTTCTATTACCTCGATAGATGGGAGAACATGCAACAATCAAATCTTGAATCCTCTAAGTTCTGCATGAAAATTGAAGAAATTTCACCATTAAATCAAATACACAATATTTATAAAGAATAATCATGAAAATAAAAAATAAACATGCATGTTGAAGGAGATGAAGTTATTATGAAAATTATGTAATTTTTTGGTTTATATATAGGCATGAGGTATTGCATGTGATAGGATAATAGTCATAATTAGAGTTTTATTAGGATTTGAATTTGGTTATTGGTGCTTCAAAATATCAATCGCACTACCAAAAATGAAGCAACAGTGCATGGATATGTATATGGAATTTTAAAGGGCAGGCATGATCTGAATTCTATCATATACATTAACACAATGGTATCACCGTGTACTCCAGCAAGTCACTTCTTGGTGGACTAATGTAAAGTTAATTTGATGTGTGGGAAAATTCCACAATAGTTTTATTTTAATAGAATCCTTTGACTTGACAATGTCCAATGTGATCAAGAAGTGTAACTGTCAAAACCTTTAAAAAAACTGGTTAATTATTTCTTAGAGGAACTCATATGGAAATCACCAAAAGAATCGAGTCAGCATCAGCCTTACCAAAGATGATTACTTTCTTACTAAGATTACTACTAAATACATCATGTCTCCTCATCAAATGGGATAACTTTACGCTTATGCTAAGTGCAGAAAATATAAATTGTTATTATGTGTTCTATATATTGATAAGAAGATCCACCTTATTCTGATTAATGGTAAAAAAAATTGAACAGTCACCCTAAACATTCAAAAAGATTAACAGTTGATGGATAAACCCAGAAGGGAAATATATCGACACCAGAAGATGATATGCATCTTCTTACCCATGCTTATTTCAAATTAATCTACATTAGAGCCTTCTTGGAGCATGATGAGGATATCAAAGCTTTCTTCCTTCGGGTTTGAAGCAACAACAAATTAAATCTAAATTAAAATAATATCAAACATTAAGATTTACCTTGATATATGTGAGAACCTACAACAATCAAATCTTTATTCCTCTAAATTCTGCATGAAAATTGAATAATTTAAAAA